GAGCACCAGAAAGATGCAGAGCTGGCTATTTTGGTACAATGATCAAATTCTTTATGTTGCCAGGTGAGTGTTCATAATTTGATGAGAAGGTAATTGAGAATAGTTGACTTCTGAACAGCTGTGCCATTTCAGATGTCTATAGTACACAAACCTTTATAATGATAACTTAAGATAATCACCAGGAGAGAAACTGATGTCATTGTTAATATAGATCTTTCATATTTTAAATGTACAGGTAATCTATTAGGAGAGATCCAGTGTACTGCCTCTGACTATTGTACTTAAAGGGACAATCCTAGAATGGTGGCATCTCTATAGTGCTCTCGATTGGCCTATTCAGACCAATGTGACCAAACTAACTTATTATCACTAAATTATCACTGCTCAGTGATAACAGCCCTGCCACCTGAGACAGGTGTCACTCCCTACCTTAAAATGGAATAACAGAACTGTCTCCTCCCCACTGTTTAAGTTGTGATTTGTATCAGTAAAAATGGTTGAAATATAAAGGCAATATTCTGTAGCTCATAAAATTGAGATAATATTTTTTAAAACTTTCCTAGGTACTACTTGTGGAAAAGGCAGGGCGACGCTCTCTGTTTCTAATAGGAATGAGTGGGATGTTTTTCTGTGCCATCTTTATGTCAGTGGGACTTGTGCTGCTGGTGAGTCTGGTGCTATTTTTGGTTACCATATAATAACATCTCTGTGCTCCAGGTTAAAGTATTTTGTGTCTCGAAAACATTTTAGATTAATTTATGAAATAAAGCCAGAGGAACAGCATATAATACAAAGGGGGACTTGTTTCTTGGGTTTAGACAATAAATAACAGCATGTCACTTGTGCTTATTATTCAGGGAGGCAATGTAGCCATGTGGTTAGAGCATAGACTCTGGGGTCAGCCCTACATAGGTTCTAATGTTAGCTCTGCCACTTGGCATCTTGTGTGGCCCTGGGCAAGTTCCTAAAAACCTCTCAGCCCAGCATCCTAAACCACCACTTCACAGGGAGTTATATGCTTTGTTTAGCCAATGCAGTACAAGTAGGAGCAAAGGATACTGAATCTTTACCTTGCCTTGAGCAGGAAAAGGATGACTAAGGATCAAATAAAGTCCTAATCCAGAAGATTACCTATAAGGAGCTCAAAAGATTTAAGCATGATTCAGATTACAGTAATTTGTACCTGATGGAAGATAAACACATTAGGAAGAGAGCTATGCTCACCTCTGAATTCAGGCAGAGATTACTTAACTAAAGGAAACAGGAGTCAATGATCTCAGTCCCACTTCTGTTTCTATTTTGCTTTTTCTTTAGGATAAGTTTGCTTGGATGAGTTACGTGAGCATGACGGCCATCTTCCTTTTTGTCAGTTTCTTTGAAATTGGGCCAGGCCCTATCCCCTGGTTTATGGTGGCTGAGTTTTTCAGTCAAGGACCACGGCCCACAGCTTTAGCACTAGCTGCATTCAGCAACTGGTTCTGCAATTTCATTATAGCTCTGTGTTTCCAGTACATTGCGGTAAGTGGCCTGACACTGTTCAAATTTACCCAACAGAAGGCAGGTCAAATAGCTACTAACTGGAACTCTTTGTTCTCAATCCAGGACTTCTGTGGACCTTATGTGTTTTTCCTCTTTGCCGGGGTGGTCCTAGCCTTTACGCTGTTTACATTTTTTAAAGTTCCAGAAACCAAGGGAAAATCTTTTGAGGAAATTGCTGCAGAATTCCGAAAGAAGAGTAGCTCAGCCCAACGGCCAAAGGCTGCTGTAGAAATGGAATTCCTTAGATCTACAGAGACTGTGTAGTGATAATCTACTTCTTAATTATGAGCAAAACATGAAGGAAACCATGTGTTTTGTAAATGATTCCTTGAAAAGTTTATATCTACATCTTAAAGTATTGCTTTATTTTTGAAAGAGTTTTATGGGCTTCGATTAGAATTGTCAAGAAATATTACCATAGAAAGTATTTTTTTAACTTAGAGAATTTATTTTTGATGGTAAGACTCAGTAAGTGAACTAAAAAAGGCTAGCTCTTTTTGCTCCTCTAAAGCGATGTTCTAGTCTCCCTTGTTCTTTGTTTTGGTTTGGTTTTTGCAGTGTCCCACCTGAAATTTAAGAGTTTCCACTGTATCATGTTATTGCCTCATTAAGCATGTGACTAGAAACCTGAGGATATGACCGCTATTTATATATTTAAATTGGAATTTCTTATCCACAGATCTGATACTAATGGAGATGTGGCTAGTAGTAGTAAGATTCACCATATAATAGACTCAGCTGCTTTCTTACATATTAGAATTTGTATTTTGCTTAAAGTTTTATTTTTTCTATATTTTCATGGGGGAATTTTTTTAGGTATGCTAAAATATTTTTATGAAGACTTTTTTTTGGTAGCTATCAAAAACCTTCCAGTATTCAAAAAAATTTTTTTAGTTCCTTTGATGACTAAATGGTTTTTGCAAGGTTAAACATTTAAGGCAGACCTATTCATATAGCCTGGATTATCAGTTAATATTAATATCTATTACAAAACCATGTTAATTCCTCATCATCTCAATTCTTTGTGTTATATTTTGTTTTGCTTTTCAATTGAGCATAGCCTGGTTGTCTGCACTGTGTTATAAAATACACTCAATCATGAGTCAGCCATTCTATATATTGCCTTAAGTCTCTAATAAATTGGATCAATATAACTTAGGGAAATTTGGAGTAAAAGATTGCTCTGTTTTTTAAAAATATTTTTCTGAATTATTATGTTTCTAAACAAATTTTAAAAAGTAGGACTTGGAAAATTCCTAAGGATAAGCTCCTAAAACTTTATGAATGTTCAACTTTAGATCTAATCAAAATCCGTATTTAATTTTTCTGGAAACACTGAGTTCCTAAAGAACTGGATCAATGTAATAAAGATCCCTAGAGCTGCAATGGTATACATCATAATAAACAATAAAACAGACTATATTTATATGTAATCCCAGGAAAATTAGATGTGATTTTGAACATTTAATTTTCCAACTGTCATTTTTTTGTGGAAGTATTTTCATATTCTAGAAAGTCCTTACAAATGTGATTTTTTTTTTTCTTAGCTTGTTTAAAGTATGATGAAAATTCTTGGTCTGGCCACTCACCTGCTACATCTACCTGAGCGCCCTGAGAGTGGGCACTCAGGAAAGGGTCTTGTCTAATTTCTTATTCTCAGTTTTCCTCTACATGGTGAGCACTGTCACGTGTGCTGAGATATAGTAAGGCATTTTGCCACATGCACATATTTCAAGGAGCTCACAGTCTAACAGCAAGTTCAGGAAGACCAGGGTATTAATATCTCATCTGTGCCTTTTGCCTTCCAAGAACCAGGTTTGTGGAAAATGGAGACAATAATATTACCTACCTCTGAGAACTGTCATGAGGATTAAATATGGAGTGCTAACTAAGCACAGTGCATAGTATAAAGTGGGTGCTCAATAAATGTTACCTAGAACTAGTACTCACAGACATGCTATTAGAATAACGGATTATTATACATCAGACAGTTCCAAATTTTCTTTCAAACAAAAAAAGTTAGTATTTTCTTACTTCAAAGAAACAATCTCCAAAGGAATGGTAAGAAGCAGTGAAACTATCAGTCCATGTAATTCCTAAATCCAAACAGTATTTCCAAAGAAGGATTTAAGAATTTTTATTGTATTTTACAATTTGCTTTTGCCTATTATTTCAAGAGGTCTGTGTGTAATATTATTTCTTTGAATAATATTAAATGATTAAATGCAAAATCAAATGCTATAAATCACATTTAGATAAAACTTAACAGGATTATAATCATAGGAAAAGACTAAACCTTGTTGATAATTCTCAAAAATTTCAAGAGTTATTTACATGTAACCCAGTGTACCTTCATAAACTGCTTTTTATTACTTGCTTAACTATTGCATATGTCACAAGTGAAATATTGTTGGACAATACCTGTGCCTTCAGTGTCCTAAGCAGAGTTGCTGCACAAAGTGCAAATATATATAATATATATATATATATATTTTTTTTTTATATTATAATTCTGTATTAGTGACCTGAGGAGAAAAAGTTTATTGCCAATTACTCTGTGCACTCTGCTGATGTTTTTACTACTTTCTAATTTAAAGTACATTCAAAAAGAATTATCATGAAAAGAAACTGATTTTATAGAGCTTTTTGGACTGGAGGTGTAACTTAAGTGGTAGAGCATCTGCTTTGCAAGCATGAAGACCTGTATTCAAATCCCAGTCCCATCAAAAAAAAAAAAAAAGAGGTTGGTTTTGGTTAAGAGCACATATACCTTACTGCTTTGTGACAATAAATATATTTCTGGATGCTTAGTGTGCTTCCTTTTTTATTAAAAAGTAGCCACATTATTAAAGATTTATATTGGTTTACTGCATATACTTATTTCTTTCTCACAATATTTTCCTTATTCTCATTTTAGCCCATATTTAATTTCCATATGGTAGCTGTTTTGTTATCAGTAACAGAAAAAACTAACTTAAAGGCTAAATAAGAGTAATCAAAAGAGAACAAATGACTCTTGATGAAAATAAAAATAATTCAGTAAATGAGCTCCTATTATGAACAAGATACTTTGTTACAGTTCTGTGAAAGATACAAAGAATAGAAACATGGTCAATATTCTCAATCTGCATTTTCATAAAAGGAATAAAATTTAAAAACAAAAAGATATGGTATTATAAATAGTATAGCAAAAGAAGACAATTGAAAGAACTGTAAGTCAGTGGCTTTTAAGCTTATAAATTGACATCTAAAATCTTTCATCATATATTTAAATTAGAGGAAAGGATGCAATTTTTCATAATATAGTATATAATGACGTTTTTAAAAATTACTGCGCTCAGTTGGGCTCAGTGGGTCACACCTATAGTCCTAGCTATTTGGGAGGCTGAGATCAGAAGGATCACAGTTCGAGGCCAGCCCCAGCAAAATAGTTTGTAAGACTACCATCTCCAAAATGGAATGGAGGTGTGGCTAAAGCACACCTGCTTTGCAAGTATGAACCCCTGAATTTAAGTCCTAGTGCCACCAAAAAAAAAAATTATTCTGCTGTATTTATCTAATGGAACTTAAATATCATAGCAATTTGTTATTCTCCATTAACCACTAAAAACAAATGATATTATGTTATAAATTTTTATTATATATATTTATGCTTTTCATATACATTTAAAAAGCTATCATTATATATGAGTTTAGAAACTTTAATAGCTGAAAATTTTACTATAATCTTTTTATTCTCATATTTTCATTCTATTTTCCCAAAGGACTTTATCCTAAGGTAATAAATATATATGCTTTAAAATATTTTGATTATGTTATTTATACAACAAAAATATCTATAATTTTAATTTTTAAAATTTCCTGTGTCTATAGAGATCAAAATGACTAGCTATACTTTTCCTGGATTGAGTTAGCATTATCATTAATATTAGTGCATAACTGATGAAAAACCTATGTATAATCTTGATAAAATTAGTTTTATCAAATTATACTCATTTTATAAATTTATCTCAATGAGAAGCAGGGAGTTATTTCTTTTTAAATTAATTAATCTATTAATAGATGAATAGTTCTTATTGCTAAGGTATTTTTCAGTATAAATTCTATTAAGTACTAAAAACCTTATTTGTATAAATAGATAAGAATGGAAGGAACATGTTCTTTAATTCCATGACCATTTCTAAGTTACAGCCCAAAAGAAGAGTTATTAGCTGATAGCTAATAACTCTAGTTGGCCCTTCTTTAATTTTGTTGAATAAAAGTACTTTCAATGCAAAAGGATTTGTTATTCGGTTGTTCCAGTCATTCCCTCTCTTACTTTCTGGGCAATATACCTAAAAGGCTTTTCTAAGACTTAATGAAAGAACTATACTGTCAAATCTTTCACTTAGAGCAGTCTTGCTTAACCTGAATACTCAGAATAGGTGGGAGCAATCAAAATGTTAATTTTATGCATTTTAATATACATAATAAAATCCTTCTATCTTATCATATACTCTTTGCTTCAAATGCTCAGAGTTCAGATTTAGCTTGTTAGATTAATTCGTGAAAAATGTCTATCTTAACCTAATGGGAAAATCCAGTCCTCATTGTCAAACTAGCTTCCCAAATCAGAGTCACTTTCTGTCTGACTTAATTTTCCAATTCCAATAATGCTTTAATGCTCATTTCTGTGACAAAAACCTCCTATTTGAATTCCTGGGCTACTTAGGTAAGTATAGATGAGGCATGGATCCCTGCCAAACGTCTGTTCCTGCATTTCCTATGGATGCCTTCTTTACAGGTTTTCTTTTACAAGTCTTTCTTGCAGAAGTAATAATTTGAAAATAATGGGGTAAGCTCTGCTACACAAAATAGGCATTATCCAGGTCTGTATTGAGGTTATCAAAATGTGTGCATTTAGGTCAAAATACACCCTTTCTTATGCTACCTTAATTAGGTAGGCTTAGTAGGTAAAACAATTTCCAATTACCCTTCATTTGGCACTTCTAAAGGTTTAAAACGCCAGTGAAGTGCACCATGCTGAGAATTGAGATCAGTAAGAATTATGCCTTTCTTTTGTAAACTGGGAGAAGTAGGATTATGGAAAGAGTACTGGAAGATGTAGCCTAATCACCAACTGCAGGCATGAAAATATATATATACACTTCTGTCCACGAACAAGGAATAGCATACCCAACTTTGAAAACAGCTACATATTTACAAGCTCAGCACTGCTGCGGTGAGTGGAGTTGTGGGAAGAAATGAATCTTAAGGCCCAGAAGAACCACCATCCAAACAATGGGAATTTGCAAGAGAAAAAAACTGAATTTAAGAACAAGAAAGCTCCTTGTGTGTCAAGCACAATGAACAGCCTAAAATTCCATCACAAAATTTCAGAATACCAGAGATTTAAAAAAAATATTACAGTACCTGAAA